TTAGACAGCCGACTGAAGGAGGTTTGAAAGTTATTGTCTACTGTTAATAATTCTCTGCTGATATCCTGCCATGGGCAATGCCCTGATTGCTTATGAAAAGTAGCTTTAATAAAGCTGGATACAGTTTGGCTTGGGGGGGAAAAAAACAGGGAAAAAAAGTCTGAGCATGTAATAACATCCAAGTGGAGTAAAACTGCTTGTGAAGCACATTTATCAACTCTATTTATTTTATTCAGCCATAGGATACTGGTCCATTATTTTTCCCTCCTTTTTTTTTTTATCTTCCCCTTCCATCATGCTGTATTTGGGGACTTTTTCATCATAACATAGTTGAAGTGTAATCACAGGTAATGAAAACCAGCAAAACTAAATTGGCGAATTGGAAAAACTTAGTGAAAAGAGAGCTTATAAAACACTAGGTAAGGTGAAGTTGTGAAATTTATTTTGGACCTTCTTCCCTCTACAGCTGAATAACCAAGACCCAGAATACACCCGAGCAGACCGCTGCTACTTATGCAATGTTGATGAATACACTTCGCCTCAGAACTGTTTGCATAAGCAACACAATCATAAATACTTTAAGATTGTCCCTTAGTGTTTAGAAACATGGCTTCTTTCCTAAAACCAAATTATTAACCTTGAGGCCTGGGGCAAACGATGAACAGCTCTGTGCCTCAGTCTCCCCACTTGTAAATGGGAATACTCTGCTACTGAATACTGAAAACTCAGTCTCCTGTTCAATACTACCGTACTGAAAACTCACACTGAATGCTCTCATACCTGCCTATATTAACCAATAGCCCTCCTTACAGCTAACCTCTGAGAAAAGAATAAATGTAAGCAATCCTGATACATATCTCACATGTGAGAAACCCAGCTCATTATCAGAAAACATTGTTCCATTCATAAGCTCACACAATGATAGACCAACTCAGAGGACCAGGATAATGCACTCAGTTCAACAGGCTGGGCACAGGCCTTGCAAAGGGGGAGCCCAGATTCGAACCCAGCACCACATGGTCCCCTGAGTACCCCTAGGAATGACTCCTCCAAGCAGAACTGTGACAGCCCTTTAGCATTACAAGATATAGCCCTCAAACAAAAGGGATAAAAGATGGCCTCGTTATGCAAAATACCTGTGCCTAAGGTGTTCTTTAACCATGGAAGCCTGTAGAACCCTAAATTCAAAGAGACTCTTCGCTGCTGGTCCCCATTTCTCACATACACAGCTAACCTTGTCCCTAACGGAGTTACACAGACACTTCACAGCAAAACGCCTTGCTCTCTAGATATTCTTATGACTAAATGGTGAGTAACACAGAGTTTTACAAACGTTCACCTTCAGAGACACTTGACACAGATCCAAGACTTGTAATCAAGTAGACAGTCTCCTTAATGGGGAACGCAAACAGACATAAACAAAAGAGGCTCAAATAAGCCATCCCCGGGCCTGCTTTACTGTATGTGCAGTGAACACATATGCAAGAACCAGACAGCCGAGAAGATAACAATGAATAGGAACTTTGTCGGTCCGGGGCATGTGGATAGGGGAGGAGAAGTGAGTCCATTCTATGTCTGTCTGTCTGTCTAGTATGCAGGTCACGCTCATCTGCGGGCCTCCCAGCTCCATCTGACAGAGGTAGCCAGAGAAGGAGAAAACGGATGGATCAGATGTTTCTCAGCCATCTACCCCACAAAAGACCCATCTCTGCAGTCTCTTCCAGCCAGAGCGAGAGTCTAATAACCAGATACTATCAAGGCACTGAAATGATGAATGCAACTGGGAGAGGGGCTGGATAGAGTACGGCGGGTAGGACGTTTGCCTTGCACGTAACTGACGTGGGTTCAATCCCCAGCATCCCACATGGTCCTCCAAGCACCATCAGGAGTACTTCTTGAGTGCAGAGCCAGGAGTAAACCCTGAGCATTGCTGGCTGTGGCTCAAAAACCCAATAAATTAATGAAATAAATACAGCTGGGAGAGGTGAAGTGCCTAGAGAAATCAAACCCTGGTGTTATAATCAAGGTCGGCTATCCTCCTGAGAAGGGGGATTAACTGGGAGGGGGGAGGAGAAAAAGGAGCGATAAAGAGGTGTTGAAGCCCAGAGACCAAAACAGAGCATGGACCTAGAAGGCAGGGGTCTACCAAAGACCATCTGGATCAATTTGCCAGGGTCCTGCTGGCTTCAAAGCCCTGAGCCCTCTAAGGTTTCTTCTTGTTTACTGTCTCCTCTTGCCTCTGGAATAAAAGAGCAGAAGAAAGCTTCTGCCCGTACAACATTGCTGGCTCTGAGGGATATTTTGGTTGGCAGATCCTTTGCAGACACTAACCAGACACAACCAGCCGGTTTGCCAGGTCATCCTCTGGGGTGTGCAAAGCTACCCAGCAAGCGTTCCGATCTGAAGAATGGCAGGCCTGTTTGCTTTCAAGCACAATTTGCATCCACAAGTACAAAAACACAAAGAGTTGAATGGAAACACTCATCATACCTACCCAGATTCCAATCTGACCCTGGGTATCCAGAGTATTTTAAAACCAAACGACAACCAAACCAAACCAAAACAAAACAAACAAAAAAACACCTTTGGGAGATTGGAGAGAGAATCCAGAGTTAAGGGGCTTGCCTTGTATGTGGACAACCCTGATTCAATCCTGCTACCACATATAGATCCCAGAAGCACCACCAGGAATAATCCCTGAGAACAGAGCTAGAGACACTTCCAGATTAAACATGGCAAGGGATATGATAAATAAAAAGAGTCATTTTATTTTTAAGTGTGGCTTGAAAAAAATAACAGGCTAAAGACACACTGTTCAGCCAGAGAAACTTGAATTCAATACTGAATACTATTTAATGTCTTAAATTAGGTCATTAGCATCATTATAAGGAAATAACGTTACCCCTGAGAGATGCATGCTTGAGTTATGAAATCTACAACTTTCTGTCAAATTGCTCGGCAATGAAGTGGTGACATTGCATGAGTGTGTGTGTGTGTGTGTGCGTGCACGCATACAAATCAATGACTAAGAAAAAGCTACATGGGATCTCACTGTCCAATTCTTGCCACTTATCTGTACACTTAACATTTGTTTATTTTTTGAACCACAGTGAGATTGGATTTCAGTAATATAATGTTCCAACACCTGTTCTTTTACCAGTAAACATTTCCCACCACCATGCTAAGGGTTTTTTTTTTTTTAAGTAAACAAAGTGTCATACAGATTACAAAAACTATCAGTAGAGAATTGGGGACTGGAATGGATTAAGACCCAGTCCTAAAGTTATTTACATAAACCCAGGCTAAAGTCAAACTTCTCAGAGAGACAAGGACCTGACGAGCTTCAGATAGATAGGGTCGTGTGCAAAGGAGCTGTCAGTCGCTCTCTCTGGCCACAAGCTCCATGTCGGATTTTACGGGGTGAAGGATATAAACATGGAAAGAATGAGTCCTCACAATTGAGGGGAAGAAGAAAGACCCAACTTACTAAGATTAGTACAAACGTGGTGAGTCACCCCCTCTCAGAAGACCAGGCAAACATGTCTTATTCCTGAATCCAGAAGGATTCAACCATTCTGGGAGGGCACCTGAGTTCTCAGCCTGTCTGACATCCCACGGGCAGCAAACAAGACCCAAAGAACCCAACGCTCCTCTCAAACGCTGCTCATGCCCATGCTGGCTTCCTTCCATGTCACCAATGTCAATAGACAAGTTCGACCTCTTGTCTGTTTCAGCCTCTTTCTACAACAAAATCCCTGGATGGAAACACACACCTAAAACCAGGCAGTTCATAGTCATTGGCTGTTTATCCTTTAACCTTGATGTTGGTGGCGGGGGATGGGGGGAGGTGGGGAGGACCAATGGCCTTGGCTTTCCTTTGCTCATTACCCTGAAACTAGATCTGTTTAGCCTCTGAAACAGGGCACTGGAGCTTAGTAAGAACAGCCTCCCCACTGCTGCCTGGGTGCCAGCAGCATGCACACGTGGACGGATTAGGAGTCTGTGCTCTAAAGCACACACACACTCGACCAACAAGCGCGTCTCATTCCACAAATACCTTTGCCCAAGCCACTTCTCTGTTGTTCTTCCTGGCATGGAGCAGGGTCCGTGGCACTGTGCCAACGGAAGTATGCGTTGAGTGCCAGACCTGCATGACTTTCTTTACCTCAGAAGTTCGAAAATAAAACCTTGTAGCATAATTACCAGGAAATAAAGTCAAAATGGGAAAGGTTCTAGAAAAAAAAATTTTTTTTAAAAAGTTTCTGTTTTGAAGTTGCCTCAAAGACATGCCGGAAACACACACTATAGAATTATCTTCCGTGCGAGCAAATATTACAGGGTTGACGTTAAAGCTGGGAAACACAAATATTCTTTCACAGGAAAGGCGAGTCCACATTTGGCATTTTCTGTCACCAGCCTTGATTCTGGTTTTACTACTTATCACCTACCAACGCAAGGTACAGAGGATGGGTTATTTGGTAAATCATTATTTTATATCAGAATGTGTTTTATTTTTGTAGCTGGCTTCTTTATGACTCATCCTCTTTTTTTAAAAAGTGTTATATATTAAAGAGAAAGTCCATTTCATTTGATTTCACTCTCCTTTCCTATCCTCCAGGTCTAGAGAGTTAAGTTTGGGATCACTCACAGTAAGCAGAGAGAAAAGGACATTAAGTCATAGCTGAACAGCACAGCCAACTGAATCTACCAAACTTAACCACCAATTCATTATACACACAAGACACACACAGACACACAGGCACACACACACACACAGAGAAACAGACAGACACACACAGACACATACACACAGACAAACACACACAGAGACAGACAGACACAGACAGACACCACATACACACGGAGCACAGAGGAAACTGACATCAAGTTCCCCACAGCACACACACATCACCGTCACCAAGTAACTTCTACCAAAATGGACCCGAAAGACACCTTCTTAGACACGTTCATCCAGAGCACAGTCAGAGAGGGAAACTTACTTTCTTTCCACTTCTGGGGTCGACACGGCACTGCAGAAGCCCAGGGACTCCTAGGAGAGAAGATTCATAGCGTCAGTGAAGCTGAGCAGAAGTTTTGTCTCATTTGTACAAAATATAACTTAAAAAAAAAAAGAGGCAGAAGCAAAAATAGATGATTAAAGTCATTGTGCTTACTTCGATCTGGGACCGCAGCTGAAGTGACGTGGGGCTGGCATCGGGTTTCTCCTAAAACAGAACAGATGCTGGTTTTAATGAGACTTCCAAACGTGGCACCACCAGAAAGACAAATAGATGTGTAAGCGGAGCTGGGGGGGATTTGGGGAACGCCAGGGTACAGGGGGAGGAGATGGTAGAGATAAACAGGTTTTCTGGGAAAACTAAAAGTATTTTTAAACTGAGCGCTCTTCGTCTCTTTTATAATTAAACTGCTTTTGCAACCTCACCACAAGTTGTGGCTGACAATTTCACTGCAGAAGAGAAAAGAGTACTGACAGTTAATAGTAAAAGACGCCCCAGGGTGTCATGAGAAGACCGTCACCGAGACACATGATCCACCATTAGCCCTCTGAGTTCGGGTTATTGTTCAATAACAAAGGTGTTGAATCCGATTTTATTTATTTATTGGGGTGGAGGGGGCGGCACACTCAGTGATGCTCAGGGATTACTTCCTGCTATGCACAGGGGGACCATCTGGGGTGCCAGAGATTGACCCAGACTTGCTGTGTGCAAGGCAAACACCCTACCAGCTGTATTATTCCTCTGGTCCCTGAATTCTATTTTCAAGTTTGATAAACAAAAGTACTTAGCAATAGGGAAGTAGTTGTTCTCCACTTTGCAAAGCTGGGACACTAACTTAGTTTCTTCTTGCAGCCCTAAAGGTTACCCTACTCCGTTAACATTGTTGGCTTGGCATGGGACATAGATTAGGTGGGTGAGCACATGTTAGGCCCCTAGTTCTTGCTCTGCCACCATAAGGGTCCTAAGAACTGCTGAGCATGACCCTGGTACTCCCTCACCTGGCCCAAAGCACAGCACCAGTGGGCTGAGTGAGCATTCCCATGAGTGAAATCAGGCCCAGAAGTGCTTTGGGGAAGTTGCTAGGTAATCCATAAATAACCACAAAAAATAAAACCACAACCAGAGGTTGGAGAGATAGTACAACAGGTAAAGTTCTTGCTTTGCATGGGGGTGATCCAGATTCAACTTCTGATATGGTCCCCCTGAGTCCCATCAGGACAAGCACAGCCAAATGTGGGCCCAAAACCAAAACAAAACCAAGCCAAAAAAACTAAAAACACCTCTTAAACCCAAACCATTCAGTATTCAGTTAACAGATGAAAGGAAGGCATGGCATTATAGGTACACAATTTTTCAATGAGTGTGTGTGTGTGTGTATGCACACATATAATAATTTTAGTGTATACGGTGGGTAAGGTGCTTGCCTTGCACAAAGGAAGCGCAGGGAGCTATAAAACCAAGCTCCCAGAAGAGAACAGCACAGAATCCCGAAAGAACGACAACGCGCCTGGCTGTCCTGTCCGGGGCCCCTTGGAAGTGGGGCAGGTTGAGTTTCCCTTCCCACACCAAGCAGAGCCCCGGCGGCTGAAGACCTCTGGAACCAGCCACAGCCATGCTCAAGACCACTCTCAACATGCTTGGACGAGCCTCACGCATAAAGAAACTGGCAGAGGAACCCAGGTGTGAGGGACTGGGGCTGAGATCTCCAAGGCTGCTCGGATCAGGTCTGGGCCTCCTCCACCCAGACCCCCCATCTTCCAGTAGCTAGACAGTTACACCCACCAACTGCCCTGGCGTCGTGTAATCCCCTCAATGGCCAAGATCAAGAGACTATAAAACCAAGCTCCCGGAAGTGCACAGCCACCCTCTTATTGTCTAGTTCTCACTCTTGGAGAACCCGGCAGGCTACTGAGAGTATCCTGCCTGCACAGCAGAGTCTGGCAAGCTCCCTGTGGTGTATTCGTTATGCCAAAACCCAGTAACAATGATGGGTCTCATTCCCCTGACCCTGAAGGAGCCTCCAATGTGGTACTTGCTGAAATCTCAGGACTAGGACGAATGGAGACGTTACTGGTGCCTGCTCGAGGAAATCAATGAACAACGGGATGAAAGTGACAGTGAGAGTATACATGATATTTTATCTTTTGCCACATGGAACTGGAAGGGTCATGGAAAGCAAAATAAGTCAGAAGGAGGAAGACAAGTATCAGATGACTTCACTCATGTGTGGGATAAAAACTAAGGGACTAGAGAGTTTCCAAGGAAAACAAACCCACAGAGGGGTATAGTAGTGAGGCTGGAGGCAGGGGCTGGACAGGGCAGGAAGGGACAACAGACTGTGGGGGAGGGTCACTCGTACTCCGGGGAAGGAGGGTGGAGAGGCATTGCATCCTTAAAGCAAACATTATACTCTTATAATCAATGCTGTCTCAACTTAAAAACAAACCAACAAGATAAGAGGCAGAGGAATCAAAAGTTTTGGTGATAAACCCATGTATTCTAATACTTTCCTTGTATAGGGTTTTTTTTTTTTAAAAAAAGCATCTCTTGGGGCTGGAGTGATAGCACAGCGGGTAGGGTGTTTGCCTTGCACGCAGACAACATGGCCAACACAGGTTCGATTCCCAGCATCCCATATGGTCCCCCGAGCACCACCAGGAGTGATTCCTGGGTGCATGAGCCAGGAGTAACCCCTGAGCATCGCCGGGTGTGACCCAAAAATCAAAAAAAAAAAAAGCATCTCTTTTGAAAAAAAAAGAATTAAATAAGTACTGGAATATTTTAGGCTAGACCATAGAAAAATGAAGAGTCATACTGCTAGTAAACAATGTCACACTGGCACTTCTATATGTAGAAAATAATTCTACATAAAATGTCCACTAAAGAGGTCCACTAGAGAGGGTGATCCCAAGCAGGTCATCAAATTCTTAACAGGAGAAGGGGTACTTTTTAGAGAAAGGAGGAATAGCGCTAACATTAAACTGATTCATTATGAATGCTTTTAATAATCCTTTTGTGGTCATGATTATGGGTATGTTCTTCAGGATTATACCTGCAACTATGAGGAGCATTGTTGGTTTTAGCTAACAATGATTTTGTTTGTTTGTTGCTTGTTGTTTTGGGGCAACTTCCTGCTGTACTTAGTTTACCTCTGCCTCTGTACTCTGGGGGCCATATGTGGTGCCAAGAATCTAACCAGGGTTGGCTTCAAGAAAAGCAAGTCTCTGGACTATCTCTCTAATTCAGCTAACAGTGATAAAGAGCCACAATCCATTGCTCAATTTATTACACTGGCTTTTTCTCATGAAACCAACTGTGGTAGACCCAGCACACAGCTGGTGGTGCTTGAGGGCTGCTCCTGTCTCAGTGCTCAGAGGTGGCTTCTAGTAGTAACTGGGGAACCATGCAGGGTCAAGGACTGAAACTGGACCTCCTATAAAGCATGTACTCCAGTGTACTTACTCTTACCAATACTCTCCACCCACCCCCAGGGACGAATACTTACTAAACTCAGCCATGGAACATGAAAGTAAGTCTAATTCAGAGTACATTTATACACATTAAGTAGGTAGCAGAGCACCCAGAGAATTTCTCTCTTGCCAACATCCTCCTGGCTTTTATGGTCACCTTTGGTAAAAACAAAAACAAATTTCGATTTCTATCTTCTCATATCATGATAAGGTGTATTTTTTCCTTGCTCTCTCTCTCTCTCTCTTCTTTTAATTTTTGGAGGGACGGGAGCTCCCAAATAGTGCTCAGGAAGCTTGGGGAGCCCACTAGCTCTTCTCATGGACCCAGGCTGGAAGTTCCGTGCAAAAGTTCAAGAATGCCATGCATCTTGGGTCTGGTCTTTGATTCAGGGACCAACCAGAACCATCCAGGTGGTGTTGGGAACCATGGGAGCCTTACCAGGGGATGTTTTGGGACCATGAGATGTCAGGAATTGAACTGATCCAAGATGTTCTTATGGTAGTTTTTTGACTTGTTTTTTGTTTGTTTGTTTGTTTGTTTGTTTGTTAAGGGCCACACCCAACAATATTCAGGGCTTACTCCTGGCTCCTTCCTCAAGGATTATTACTGATAGGACTCAGGGGACCATATGGGGTTGCCAGGGAATTAAACCCACATCAGCTGTTGTACTATCTCTCCAAGTCCCTCAACCATTTCGTATTTAGGAAATGATACATAGAGATGTTGGAGTTATATTCCAAGAACAGCTGGAAAGACTCTGGAGAGTAATCAAGGAAGGATACATATTTTGGTGGAGGTTTCTAATTCCTCTCTAAGCAGAGGAATTATAATCATGGTGCCAGTAACTAACCTCTCAGCTTCACCTAGAGAAATGCATAAACTTAGGGATATTAGCAAAGCTTGCATTTTTTCTCTTGAACCTTTCTCTTTGGGAGGCAGCAGGGAAGTCTGGGAGGGAGAATCAAACTTTATTATTCTTTCTGAAAATTCCCATAAAATCGCCCCTTGAAGGCATGATTTCCACCCACATCCATCTAAAACCAGTCAAAAAAATGACCCCCAAACTTTCAACTCTTCCCTCTTCATCCTCAGCTTTTCTTCTAGCTGAAGGGTAAGTGTGTCTGCCTTACAAGGTGATAGTCTATGATAGGAAACGGTCTGCTTCATCTAATAAATGTTATTTATGGGGCGCCGTCTGTTTCCCCATGTCATAAACATGGTATTTACAGTAATTTATGTAAAATGTACCTCTTCCTGCATACAAAAACAGGCGCTTGCTAACAACCATATTAAACATTTGAGGATCAGGAAGCAACATTCTAAACAATTAACCTTCACATGTTAGCTCACTGCTCATAACAAGACATTTGACAGTGTGTTGGTGACTTTTCAGGAAATTGGTTGAGGGTGAGGTTTGATGTGTAGTGTATTAAAATGTGTCAGGAATAAAAAAAAAAGTGCTTGTTTTATTTGGAAGAGATGAAGCTAACCAGGAGATCTGACACAGTGATATTTCTGGTGTTTTTCCCGCCAAAACATCTCTTGAATGTTTTTTTTTTCCCAGAACAAATTGAATAATTTCAACTCTTGGGGGAAAAGGAGCATAATCATCAAAGAGAAATTTCTTAGTGCAAACGTACCCGTAAGTAAAAATGTTAGAGCCCAGATTTAATCCTTAGTACCACAGAATCCCCGAGGTCTCCCCAGGAGAGGCGCCAAGCGCCAAGCCAAGGCTA